AGTGTAAAAGAAAGTATATAAGCAGTACATTTCTGCTGTTTAATAAAGACATCGTTTCATATGATTAAACAAGCGTTCCTTAGCTTGTCTTTGGCCTACTTATACAAATTATTTGTAACACTACCTTCACTTCAATCTTTCCTAAATTAAATCTTTGTCTAATTGTTAAAATCTGATAAACTATAGCTGCTACAGTACCCAAAGATTACCCTTCTAAATTAGCCCAAATTTAGGTTAGATCGCTCCAATTGTCTGCCCAATACAGACAACCCTTATTGTTATCTGAGTTTAGCACCATCTACCATCTTGATTTAGTCTAATTGTATTGAGTACCGTATCTGAAAGGATTGTGAACATTTCCTTGCAAGTTGGTTCCAGTGGTTCAAGTATTGATAAACTGGCATTTGTCACATGTTAGTTGTTCAAGGATTGCTAAAGTCTTAAAACCAGTCCACTTCACCAAATCTAAACGTCTCTTTCGATAGGGTGGTTCAGTGTTCTGCTAGCTTAATTTTGCTGGTTGATTTAACTTCCAGCAAATCAAATTTATCTGTGCAACAATTGGTGGTGACTGTGAAATACAGCACCCCATAGCTTTTAAAGTTACCATTAGTATTAGTATTAGTTTTAGGTTTATCTATTCCTTGGTCTAAGTCACTCTTGGTATATTTTGTATTATGATAAAAGACCTTTTAATTCAAAATGAAGACCTCTGGGTTGAGGAAAATGAAGTTAATAGAGAAATTTAAGATAATCTCATCCAAGAAAACCAAGTGCTGGCCGATAGAGGAAACCAAACAGAAGATGTTCAAGAAATTCTCAAACAAATTGCTAGTGTATTCAAAGACGTAACTAAAGAGTCTTTACATTGGAAAACCAATTGGGTCCAGATCAAACCCTTCAAAGGTGAAGAGGATGAAAACCCAATTGAGTGGATTGAGGTCTTTAAGCAAGCCGCCAATGCAAATAATTGGGGAGAAGAGCATAAAGTCAAGATTGCCTCGGGCTATCTATTCAAAATAGCGGCCAATTGGTATAAGGGGAAGAAAAATAATTTGCAGTATTGAGACAATGCCAAAAACTTGGATGCCAGCTTCAAGAAACAATTTGTGGATTACTTCGCTACACCAGAATAATGCCATAAGTGGCAGGTGAACTTGGACAACTTGGAGCAAGGAGACAATAAGCAAGGAGACAATGAGCGTGTTGACTCCTATACTTATAAGTTTAAGTGTTTGTTGTCTAAAGTTGATGCTGATAAAAGCATCCCAGCTCTGTACGTTGTAAGAATGTTCCTAAAAGGGCTCAAAGGAAATATTGCGGCTCTGTTGTCTTTGGCGAAACCGGATAATCTTGACAATGCTATTGTAATAGCCTGGAGAATTGAAGCAAGTAGCCATTATGAAGATAAGAAGAGGGCTAAATCGGCCTTGAGGATGGAAAAAGAGTTGGAAGACCTGACTCACAAACTAAAGCAAATAGTGGCTAGTTACAAGAAACTCACTACCACTTTAGCTGCCACAATGGATGCCCATCTCATTCGGGATAGATTGCCTCGGCCACCAAATTCTAAAATTATTTGCTTTAATTGTGGTGAGCCAGGTCATATATCTAAGAACTGTCAGTTCAAAAAGAAGTCAAATGACCACAGAAACTCCATCCAGCTTACACAAATTCTTTCTCGTCCCGGCAATGTTAACTATTGTAGGATAGAGGATAAGAATTATGTTGAAAGTGAGATTTTGGCTAATAATCAAGCCCAGTATTAACCTTATGCTACTCAGAAAGGGCTAAAGCTGGTAAAAAAGTCTGAGTCAAAGTGAGAAGATAGGTTGAGGCGACATGAACCAGAAGAGCAGCCCCAAGAACCATTATTGATGAATAAAGATCCATATATCCCAGAAGAGCCAACTGTAGCTCATCCTAAGTATAGAAGGGGACCATCTAGGGTGAATAACCTTGAACCATATAATGTTGTTTAAGATTTATTAAATACTAAGTCTAGTGTCACTATAGGTCAAATATTAAAATACCCTAATCAACACCGTAATCTTGCCCAAGCCCTTTGTCGTCCTAGGCTACTTGTAGAGACTAATTATGCCCAACCCAAGAAAAATTTGAGAACTACAGCCACCCGGTATTATGTGAAAATTATAGGAAATTTAGTAGTAGCAATCCTGGACATTGGCGTAGCTGTTAGTTTGGTTACCAAATCTTTGGCAGATAAGTTGGGACTTAAGATTGGGTGCCTTTTAATACTGTGGTAATCACAGCCACGGGGGCTCGTGAACGAACCTTGGGGAAGATTGAAAACTTAAAAATAGTTGTAGATAGCCTTTTGATCCCAATAACCCTCCAAGTAATTGATTCCCGGGATGAAATGTTGCTGCTAAATACCAATTGGTTCCAGAAATCAAAGGCATATATGCACTTTGATGAAGAAAAGTTATATCTGACTTATTAGGGCCAAACAACCCGCCTGGCTATATTACACATTGAGGAATATCAGCTTTTGAAGCCTGATGATGAAAGTGATGAAAAGAACCTCTTTGATGAATTAGAATTTGAGGATAAAATGTTAGAAGAAGCTGAAGACTATTATACTAGTGAGGCCTCGTTAGAAGAAGAGTTACATGTAAACCTTTGGGATGGGGTACAGAGTTGTGCAGCTATAGAAGAGGTTCCATTTGGCATTATAACGAAGATAATAAAGAAAAAAAGAAATTGAGTGAAATATGAAAAAAGGTATTGGATGAATTAGTAGCCCAGGAAGAAATAGGTAACAAGAGCCAGAAAAAAGCTGAATAGTTATTTGTTAAGTATGAAGATATATTTGCTAGAGGATTGGAAGATTTAGGACGGACTAATATTGTTTAGCATTATATCGACACAGGTTCAGCATCTCCTATTAAGCAGGCAGCTTACCAACTAGCTCCTAGTGAACAGGAGTTTTTACAAGAAAAGGTTTGAAAAATGCTAAACACTGGATTAATTAGAGAGTCCTATAGCCGGTGGTTGTCCCCAGTGGTGTTGGTTTCCAAGAAAAATAGAAAACTACAGGTCTGTATTGATTACCAAAAGGTCAATACAGTAACAAAGAAGGACGCCTATCCTATTCCAAGAATAGATGATATGCTGGAGACATTTAGAAATGCCTCTTGGTTTTTTAGCCTAGACTTGGCTAGTAGATACTGGCAAGTCTCTGTAGCTGAACAAGACAAGGAAAAGACAGCCTTTGTTACCAAGTTTGGGGTATATAAGTTCAATATGATGCCCTTTGGTCTCTGTAATGCTCCAGCTACGTTTCAACGGCTAATGAACCATATATTAAAGCAGTATATTAAAAAATTTGTTGCCGTCTACCTAGATGACATTACTGTGTATTCTAGAACTTTTTGGGAACATATGGAACACTTGGAGAAGGTTTTATCAAAATTTAGGAGGCCCAGTTGAAATTAAATAGTGATAAATATTACCTTCTTAGAAGGTCATTAAGTTTTTAGGCTATGAAATAACTAGGAATGGAATTAGGCCAGATAATGAAAAGGTCATCAAGGTTCAGAAATACCTGGCACCAAAGACTCTGCGCCAATTGAGAGGATTTTTGGGTCTATCATTCTACTATAGGCGGTTCATTAAGAGTTTCACCTCTCTTGCTCAACCCTTGCATCACCTACTTTGAAAAGATGTGCCATATAATTGGGGCGAGCCTCAACATAAGGCATTTGAGACACTAAAGCATCATTTAACTACTGCCCCTATTTTACAGTACCCAAATTTTGAAAAGACATTTTACTTATACACAGATGCTTCAGGGACAGGTCTTGGGGCCATGTTGTCCTAGAAAGATAAAAAAAATAGGAAACACGTGATTGCATATGCCAGCCAAAGTCTAAGTTGTGCAGAGAAAAATTACTCCACTACTATGTTAAGTGTCTAGTGGTGATTTGGGGAATTGAATATTTTCACCACTATTTAGGCATTAAGCCTTTTGTGGTAATTACCGACCATGTGGCTCTTAAATGGTTAGAAACATCGAAAATAAAGGGTAGAAAAGCAAGATAGATCCTTCGGCTCCAACCTTACACTTTTAAAATCGAATATAGGAGTGGTTGAGTGCATTCTAATGTATATGCACTATCCTGACTTCTTGAGGCAGATTACAATGAAAAAGAAAACCAGCAAGAAGAAGCTATGGATGTTTTTAAGGTGGATGTTATAGAAGATAGTAAAGATGAATTGTGCTCAGAAGATGATGAATACAAAGAAGACTATGAAGATAAAGAAGGCTACGAGGATGAAATAGAAGAAATGGATTATGAAAGAACTGAAGAAGTAGAAGAACAGTGGAATACATGGGAAATAGATGAAAGTGAAGTGGTAGATATAAATCAACTGGAACAAGGCTATGAACAATTACTACACGATTTTAAGATAGAATCAGGCTGAAGATTGTTATGGGAGGGCCATAGTGATATTGCTTGGCAATGGTGGAAATATGAGAATGAAAGAGGTGCTGAAATAGCACTCTCTCAAGATGAGGTGTATTTAGAGAGCCGTTCAAGGAGAAGAAAACTTTTTTGATGTAATTTGGATGGAGTGTGAGCCCAAAAAAAATATTCCTTGGCCTCTTACACTCGAAGAAATTATAGAAGCTTCGGAAGAAGAAAAGCATAAGGATGATAAAGAATCATCCGATAATAATTATTCTTTTTCACAATAGGAAACGTTAGATGATGAAGAGTCCCAAGTAGAAGTTGTAATAAACAGTGGAATCACAAGTCTAACCACCCCGGAGAGAAAAAACTCGACCGAAGAATAGAAGGTTAACAAAAGCTTTGCTAACCAAGTAGAACAAGAGATTTGTTTAAATTAGTTTAAATAATTATTTTATATATTTTAATCTTATAATATTTCTATATTCCTACCTATACTAAATATCAACCTTATTATTATTATTATTATTTGTATTAAAGTAATCTTTTTGGCTATAAGTACTTTTTATTAGATAATAATTTATTATAATTATAATAAAAGTACAACTAGCTACTATGCTTTTAGTACTATTTATCTGTATCTGCAACTTAAACTAGAGTTACTTATTTAAACTTTCTAATTATAACTGCTATCTATTGTTAATATAGCCAAAGTATATATTACTATTTATATATAGATTTTGTAATATTTATAGATTTTATACTAACTTTAGAACTTACTAATTATCTCTAACTAGTCTATCTTTAAAGTAAATCTAAAAACATAGTTTATATTTATATTTTTATCTATATATTTAGTAACTTTTTATCAATTAGTATCTATTTGCTACTACTATTATATTTATATCTTAAGCTATTTTTTATAATATTGCTATAAACAGTTCATATCTCAAACTACAATTTTTTTAATTAGTTTTCATATTATCTACTTCTGTTTTTGTAAGGTTCAATATTATATATATCTAGTATCTACTTCATATTTACTTTTTTTAAACTATTTTTTGGTTTTACTAAACTATAAATCTAGTTGGTCTAGCTAAATTAGTTTTCTAGATTTTAGATGTTTTATAGTTTTTTTTTCTTGATACATACTTCTAAAATACATATATTTTTTTTAATACAACTTTAGTAGCTAGGTTAATAGATTTCATTTTAAAAATCTCATATTATTTAGTTTTTTTAATTCTTACACTAGTAAAAAAAATCCATTTCGGCTAAAAATCATCTTAGCTAATTTTAATCTAAATTTTAGTCGAATATTGTCAGATATTTATTTCTGAAATCTGTTTCTGATTGGTTGCCACTCTGCTGCCACTCGGTTAGATTTCAGAAATAAATATCAGAATCAAATTAAATATAATTTAACTTAAAATTGAAATATAATTCAGAATTAAATCAAATTACTATACTATTAAATTCGGAAACAATTTAATTAAATTCAAATCAAATATTACTTTATATTAAATTAAATAACTTTATTTTAAAATCTTATAAATTTTATTAAATAAATTTTTAAACTTGCTTAATTAATTATTATAAAAAAAAAAGAATTATATTGTATAACTAAATTGATCATATAAACAAAATACAATTCATATTAGAAGCTAACTCTAAATTATATACCATATAGGCACGTGATAATGTGTACCTACACATTATTTTGGAAAGCACATATACAATAATTCGAATCATTATCCTAAAAGTTACTGCTACTAAAAACTTTCCTAAAACTTATATTTGGGGCGCATTATTCAAGACACACATAGGTTCATTTTTGAATCAAATATGTGATTTTTAAAAAGATAGAAATAATGTCTATGGTGTTATTACGCACCTATACAGTACTAAATATAAAATCAGAAATATTATGCTACATCATTAATCGTTTTGATGTCTAAACATTATTAATATTATGAAGTAATCCATTACAAATTTGGGCAATACCTGTACTAGTTATTATATCTTGAGTGGTATAACTGATATATCAGCTGTCGTTATATCCAATTACCTAGGATATAAATAATTTATTCTTGCTATCCATGTAACGTTAAAAATAGATCTTTTTTTTTTCTATAGCACTTCAATGGTAAAGATTAAATACGAATACCGGTACTTATATCAATCACCTAAATATGTATAGCAGAAATAGGTAGGAAAAAGTAAATAAAGTTAAAGAATAAACTTAACACAAAATCAACAATTAAATTCATAAATACTTATCACAATATTGATATATTTCTCAGATAGTTCGAACCGTGCCAATTAGCTTATAAATATAAATAATTCTAAAAAGCAGCAATTGAGATTCATATATATACTTACATCTTGATTGCACAGCCGTTAAGCACCAATTCAAGGCCGATTCGTACTAGTAACTTATTTAATTCTTAAAGTAAATAATATGCGTATCTAAAGGCACATGAAAAAGACTTGTAAATTGAATCATGTGCTTATCATTAAATAATAAGGCTGGCAGTTTTGTAAAGTTTATTTTTACCTGATAATAGTAATACAGCAGATTCAGGCCATAAAGTTTGAATGAACCAAGAGAATGACAAAGCCAATAGAAGCAAACAAACCAAGAGCAATAATTAGGAATGCTCAACATTGATATTTAGGCAAAAAGAAGCTGTAAAAAAAAAACAAATAACATGCATCAGTATGAAGTCAAAGGATGGAACGGAAAAACAATAAAAAAAAAAAAAGCCTAATTACTAGATAAAATCGCCAAAGATGAAATAGATGATCTAAACGACGGTTGTCAAACTATCATGGACATGAAATTCAAGTATGAAAAATTAATAAACCAATATTAAAGGCATTAAATTTGTAAAGTCGAAATATGCCAAGTTAAATTATATTCAAAAGTAGATTCCAGTGAGTTTCCACTATTTTAGTCGAATAAAAAGGTTAAACGACCTAGTTAAATATTATTTGGAAAAGATAAAAAATATTTAAGTTAGCCTTAAAAGGTTCCAACTAATACCAACAATAAATTGGAAAGATAGAAGTAGACTATAAATAGAATAGCGAAATAAATCTTATCCTGTGGTTGCAGGCGCAAATTATAGAGGGAAACGTGTACAATCCTAAAGATTATGAGGTTGAAATCCATTGCTTGAAGCGAAGCTAAAACATTTATAAATCTTGAAAGTCAATAATAAAAATAGACTAATATAAGAAATTTTGCTATTAACCTTGGAGACTCACCTAGTTGTTTAGGACTACAAACTGATCTATATTGTTCCGAAGAGTCTTTCCACGTAGAAATCAATAATTAACATGACAATACATTCTACTTCGAATAATTAAAAGCCATAGACTGCATTAGAACTAATGAATAATATGATTCGACACGCTTATCAAGATAATACAGCACCTAAGACCCTTAGAAGAAGCCTACGTTATTTCAGGCTGGAAAAGTCTCAAGTTAATAAAATAACATGTATTTGATTTGAATTGTTAAAGCTCTACAAAGTATAATAGGAAAGGTGGGTGTAAATTTAACAGGTAATAATAATAACCAAACTGCTACCAAAAGACGTGTTACTGTAGAAAATCGATAAGTATTTACAATTATCTTATGTTACACAAATTTATTATATTTATGGTAATCATGTGATCGATTTTCAATTTTACTGCAAAAGACCAAATTTTATTTAATAAAACTAATACAAGTATTATAGATTAATTTTATTAAATGCATCAACTAAGTGTGTAGTTCCAATATTCATGCACTCAATTAATCAGTTATCATCAGAAATTTCTTTATCAGCTTTATTAGCAAATGGTGCCCCCTCTTCTGAATTATCTTCAATTTCTGTATCATAAACCAAACTATCCTGTTCTCTATAAGACCATCGAGGAGCATTTCGTGGCTGCAGGATATCAAAAACTTGCAAGTAATCATTATAAAATCTATTCTGTTGTATCTGTGCTGTTTGGATTTCGGTCGAATGTTCATCAAGAACATTTCATAGTAATTGTTTTAACTAAATCAAATTAAATTATGGTTATATGAAAAAAGTAAATAAAAAAACTCTTTCCGCAGATCACTTTACCAAAATAGAAACAAGAAGAAAAAATTTTCCTGTAGCGATATCTCTAAAATTTACTAAGTAACTTAAGTCTCGGCTTCTAAGTAAAGTTATTCAGCACCCCCTAATCTATCTAAAAGAGATACAACTTTGGAAAAAGAACGACTCATTTATGAGAAAAGGACAAAAAACACTAAAATCGACCGAAAAACAATTTTTTCATCGTTTCATGAAAGCGGTCCTAAGGACCACACATATTCTACTAATACAAATCAAACTATTAGCCCTACTTTACTTAAAAATAACATCAAACAAGGATTACTAAGCTCTCCTCAGTCCCAAACTCAATCCAAAACTATGGCCTCCGAAAGCT